TAGTAGTAGTAGTAGTAGTAGTAGTAGTAGTAGTAGTAGTAGTAGTATATAGTAGTAGTAGTAGTAGTTGTTGTTGCTGTTGTTGTAGTGGTAGTGGTGGTGGTAGTAGTAGTAGCAAGTAGTAGTGTCAGCAGCAGTCCATTCAATGACAAAATCAAATTCATAGTTTCGGGTGGTCGCGGGGGTTGTTTTTGTTTTTTGAAAGGCAAAAACACAGTTTCGCAGCCCCAAAATGTGCTTGTGCCTTTCAAAGAACAAAAACAACCCCACAACCACCCGAAGCTGTGATTTTGCAGTCATCCTTTTTCAAGGCGCTTTACTAAGAAGGATTCTGTGCTACAAGGGATTGGAATTGGAAGAAGGGAAGGACTCTGCACCGCAGTCCAGCAAAGAAAGGCAAAATCACAGTTTCGGCTGGTCGTGGAGCGTAATTGGTTCTTTGAAAGGCAAAACACAGCTTTGGGCTGCCAATCTTCGTTTTTGCCTTTCAAAGAATAAAAAAGGCCCCACGACCACCCCAAACTGTCATTTTGCCTTTCTCTGCTCGACCGTGGCAGAGTCCTTCCCTTCTTCCAGCACAGAATCCTTCCTATGAGCCCTTGTAGCACAGAGCCTTTCAGAGACAGAATCTTTCTTTGTTTTCGGACCTTGACCGCAAAATACCATTTTCGGGAGGGCCTTGAAAAAGGATGACTCCAAAATCACAGTTTCGGCTGGTCGTGGAGCGGCAGAAATGCAGAGATTCGCAACTTCAGCTGGTGTTTTTGCCTTTCAAAGAACAAAAAACGCTCCACGACCACCCGAAACTGTGATTTTGCCTTTCTAACCGTGGTGCAGAGTTGTTCCCTGCTTCCAATTCCAATCCCTGTGAGCCCTCGTAGCACAGAGCCCTTCATATTCGTTTATTTATTCGTGGCCTGGTAGCACAGGACAGAATCTTGCTGTTTTTCGCGCCTTGAAGAAGGTAAGGATGACTGAAAAATCACAGTTTCGGGTGGTCGTGGGGCAATTTTTGTTCTTTGAAAGGCAAACATGCAGTTTCGCAGCCAAAGCTGCGTTTTTTGCCTTTCAAAGGAAAAAAAAGCGGCCCCGCGACCACCCGAAACTATGATTTTGCCTTTCTCTTCTCGACCGTGGCGCAGAGTCCGTCCCATTTTTCCAATCCCTTGTAGCACAGAATCCCTTCCTATGAGCCCTGATCGCGGCCTCATGGGTAAGGCATTGTCTTCTAAGTCTAAATGCTTGAAGGGCTTATAGTAGGAGTCTTAGGAGTGCTCGCAGGACTCTGCGCTACAAGGCCCTGCAGAAGGATTTTGTGCTACGAGGGCTTGTATTTGTAAGGAGGAGTCTGTACGAGGCCTATTGCCTGTGCCTCGAGTCACAAGGGATTGGAAGAAGGGAGAAGGACTCTGCGGCGCGGTCAAGAAGAGAAAGGCAAAATCACAGTTTCGGGTGGTCGCGGGGCTGTTCTTTTTCTTTGAAAGGCAAAAACGCAGCTTTGGGCTGCGAAACAGCGATTTTGCCTTTCAAACATTCAAAAGAGCCCCACGACAGCCACCCGAAACTGTGATTTACAATACAGAGTCCGCCTTACAAATACAAGCCCTCCTGGCACAAAATCCTTCTGCAGGGCCTTGTAGCGCAGAGTCCTGCGAGCACTCCTAAGACTCTAAGACTCCTATAATTAAGCCCTTCAAGAATTTTGACTTAGAAGAACAATGCCTTATCCATGATGCCGCGACCAGGGCTCATAGGAAGGGCTCTGTGTTATGAGTCTACGAGGGATTGGAAGAAGGGAAGGACTCGGCCGCCACGGTCTAAGGCGAAATCACAGTTTCGGGTGGTCGTGGTGCTTTTTCTTGTCTTTGAAAGGCAAGAACGCAGCTTCGCGGCCCAAAGCCGCGTTTTGCCTTTCAAAGGAAAAAAGCAGCCCCACGACCACCCGAAACTGTGATTTTGCCTTTCTCTGCTCGACGGTGGCGCCGAGTCCTTCCCTCCTTCCAATTGCTCGTAGCACAGGACAGAGTCCTTCCTTATATGAGCGCTTGTAGCACAGAGCCTTTCATGAGTCGTGGCTTCGTAGCACAGGACAGTATCCTTCTTTGTTTCCGGGCCTTGACTGCAACACCGTGGGCGGCCGAGTCCTTCCCTTCTTCCAATCTCGTGAGCCCTGGTCGCGGCCTCATGGATAAGGCTGAATGCTTGAAGGGCTTATAGTAGGAGTCTTAGGAGCGCTCGCTGGACACTGTGCTACAAGGCCCGGCAGAAGGATTTTGTCGCGCTACGAGGGTTTGTATTTGTAAGGAGGAGTCTGTACGAGGCCTGTTGCCTGTGCCTCGGGTCACGAGGGATTGGAAGAAGGGAGAAGGACTCTGCGGCGCACTGCCACCTTCGCCTGTGCAAAATTGACTGCGGCGGCCCTACCTGTGGCGCAGTCGCAGCGTCTATGGGGCTGTGGGAGGGGATCGTGAGAAGGACTCTGCGCGGCCAGGGCTCACACAGAAAGGGGTATAAAGGAGTGTGCAGAGTGGATGGGTGGAAGGACCCGGCGCCATCTCGAGCAGAGAAAGGAGAAATCACAGTTTCGGATGGTCGTGGGGCTGTTTTTCTCTTTGAAAGGCAAAAAAGAGGTGAAAACACCGGTTCCGACGAACTCCGGGTCAAAGCCTGGTGAGGCAAGAACCTCCTCACGTCTTCCGCTTCCTTTCCGCCTTGCTTTGGGTTGCTCCAGTTTCGTCACTTCAAGCAAAATTGTGCGGCTGACTTCAGTTCAGGTTTCGTAGACAAGGGGGTAAATTAGTACCAGTGACCAGACTGATTCCATGTCGACTGTCGAGTTTTGGTAGTTAGTAAATTAGTAAAGCCTCACCCAAACCCAATATTGAAGCGATTGCAAAGCCTCTTCAAAGATCAGACCGATATGAATCCAAAGTCCATACATGTACATGCCACGAACATTTGGCGCACATATGCGCGCTTCTCTTCACTGGACATATTCTATGAGCTTGCCTCCAACGGCTTCTTTCTCCTTGGGCGTCCCCTTCTCGGCCTGCAGGAAGGGTTCTGAATTGATTGGGAATCGAACTTTCCGGGGCGGAGAGCGCGATCCTGAAGGAATGGGTCGGTGGGTTTGGGAGGTTTGAACTCAACATGACCCTGGCTGGGTTTATCTATACATACTTGTTCTTACTGTTCATTGGTGTTTTTCGGCTCCATCTGAAGAAGATAAATCCCGCATGGTCTGGATGTGAACATGCCCTTGACCGCGGGTTGAGTGCAGCTAATCAGCTAAGCCTGGGTCTGCGTGACCGGACCGTTGAAGGAACAGGGTCCGCTTCTTGGGTCGTGGGGGACCCTCGCTCATTGGCCGTTGAATGGTGCATGTTTGCTCTTCCATGCCCACCTCGATGCCACCCGCCTAAAAAAGGACAGTCAAACTAGATTGTTGTCCTGGACTAAGGCTAATGGAAGATGGGGGACAAAAAGATCGCAAAACTGAGTGGGAGCTTGGCCCCTGCTTTTTGGTTTGGAGCTGGAATCAAAGCGAAGGAAGGATGTTTGGTCACGGGCATGGCTACCCTTGACTTGAGAGGAGGGAGACACGAAAGGTAGGACAGCGGGAAGAGAAAAGAACGCAAGAGGCAGGAACAAAAATGCAATGTTCGACATGGTGATTTATCCCCTCGGAGGCGACCTGTCGTAAACATATGTTCATATGCACTCGAAATGTTCAAACATATGCACTCGAAATGTTCAAAAAGATTCTGAGGAAAACAAACTTGCCCCATGGCTCAGATCATCGGTGAGCATTGAATCGGAGCATCATAGGATTTGAACTATCCTGAAACCATAAGAGGCTCACGAAGACGTTCCCCAGGAGAGAATTGACGTGCTTCACAAAACAAACTCTAGGTATGTATCCCCTCGGGGAACACCTTTCGCGATTAGAATTTCATATGCACTCTTTCTGAATGTTCAAGGGGGGGGGGTCTGTATTGAAAAATCAATTCCAAGGGGGGGGGGTCTGTATTGAAAAATCAATTCGAGGGGGGGGGGTTGAATTGAATGATCAATTATTTTTTGACCCGGACTCGCCGACACTTGCTTCGCAAGTCAAACTCAAGGTATCCCCTAAAGGGATACCTTTCGTGACAAGGGCCCCCCAACGCTCACCCATCTTTAGATCAGTTGGGAGGTCGGAAGTTTCCTTCGATCCCTCAGGCCTTGGTTTGTTCCCATCAAGCTCCATAAGCTTCCTCGAAGTCGGAAGGACAACTTTCACTCTTTAGCGAACGTCAAGAACCAAAATCTGCTAGGAACCGAACGTAAACAACCGTCATTTGTCCAAACGCACCCGAACCGAAAAGAAAAACGAACCGTTCCGCTCCGCTCTGTTCCAAGGTCAATCAGCAAAGCGCTGTGCGACGTTTCTCTCAGACTGTCCAGGGTCTTGGAATTTCAAAGCAGCAGTCCCCCCGGCTTCAGGTGCATTCATAAAATGCTTTCCTTTCCTTTCCCTGTTCCTTTCCTTTCGTCGCTTTCCTTTCCAATATGCTTCTTAGACG